CAGCTACCATCAAGAGGACAGCAGCCCCAGGACGTCTCGCCCCTCAACGCCCGGCTACGACTGACCGCGAAAAAGCAAACCTCTTCGTCCAGACCTACCAGACCGTCTCTAAAATCCCAAAAGACAAAACTGAAGACCGACACATCAAGATCGAAGCCCGTAGAGCCACAAATAACTGCACCTGCGACAACCAGAGGAGTGAGCTGTGCAGCCCATTCTCGGAAGGCGAACTATCGGCAGCGCTCGCAAAACTCAAGAAAGGGCGGGCCCCAGGCGTAGACGGCATCACCAACGACATGTTGCAGCAGCTGTCCGCCACCGCCAAGCGCCACCTCCTTGCGCTATGCAACAAGTGCTGGAAGTCAGCGGAGGTCCCGGCTGCCTGGCGCAGAGCCGAAATCATCGCCATCCCGAAGAAAGGAAAAGATCCAGCAGAACCGAACTCGTACCGGCCCATCTCGCTGCTCAGCTGCACCAGCAAGCTCTTCGAGAGAATGGTCCAGAACAGGCTGCAGTACTGGCTCGAGGACCGACAACTGATAAACACCAACCAAGCGGGATTTCGGCGCCTCCACTCGACTATGGACCAGATCATCAGAGTCACTCAGTCCGTCTTCGACGCCTTCGAGAAGCCGAAGCCGGAGCGTGCGGTCCTTGCCCTGCTGGACTTCCAGAAGGCCTACGACAGGGTGTGGAGAGACGCCCTCCTCGCCAAGCTGGGCCGCCTGGGAGTGCCTGCACACGCGGTCAAGTGGCTCCGCAACTTCTTGAGCGATCGGAGAGCCAGGGTCAGGTGGGGCAACAGCACATCAGACTGGAGGGTCTTCTCAGAGGGCCTACCGCAAGGCTCGGTGCTCGCGCCCATACTATGGCTGGTGTACATCAACGATGTCGACAAAAACGCCCCAAACGACTCTACCTGGTCTCTGTTCGCCGATGACGTCGCCATCCTGGCCACGGGACCGTCCCTGGAGTCATGTGCGGCGAAGATGCAACCAGCGCTGGACACAGTCGCGTCGTGGGCCCGGGACTGGAAGGTGCAGGCGAGCGCATCCAAGTGCTGCTTCACCACCTTCACCCTCGACCCAAAGGAGTGCGGAGGCAAGGTGGTACCGACGCTGAAGTTCTCAGGAGAACCTCTGAGGTACGACCCGAACCCGACTTTCCTGGGCATCACCTTCGACGACCAGCTAACCTTCAGCAGCCACATCTCCTCCCTCAAGGACAGGATGGCGAAGCGCAGACAGTGCCTGCAAGCACTCGCGGGGAAGACCTACGGAGCGCACCGCAGGACTCTCCGAACGGCCTACATCACCTACATCAGATCGGTCTTCGAGTACGGTGCGGCGGTGTACTTCACTCACGCCTCCCCCGCTCTGCGCGCCAAGATCGAAACCGAACAAAACAGGTGTGCCCGCATAATCACCGGATGCATCCTCCCGACTAACAGAGCGGCTCTGCTGGCGGAGGCGGACCTCCCCGCCCTGACAGTACGGGCCAAGGAACTGGCAGCTACAGAAGCCAGCCGCATCGCTCGCCTGCCAGCGGAAGACCGAGCCAAGCAGCTGCTGGAACGAGACCCCCGACCTCGCCTCAAGTACCGCGCGCATGAGGCCTGGAAACGGGCCTGCGCACAAGCTGCTGAGGAGGGACGACCGGAACCAGCCCTGCCGGATGAAGACGCCCTGCTGCCCCACAAGCCATGCCTACGCAGAGTGGGCCGGTGGACTCTGAGGGAGGCGGGAGTGTCGGACTGCCCAGCGGAGCCGTTCCTGAGGGTGTCACCGGAGCCGCCGTGGTCGGCCCATCAGGGGTCAGTGACCTTCATCGTGGACCTACCAACCACCACGCGGCGGACAGACCCACCTGACAAGAGGAGAGAGGCGGCAGAGCGCGCCCTGGCCGCCCTGCCCGCGCCAGACTGCTCCATATGGAGTGACGGCTCGGCGGCCGGAGGCACGTCCAACGGAGGAGGAGGAGCGGCCATCATCCTGCATCGGGAGAACGACCGCAGGATCGAGTGCCTGGCAGCTGCAGGCACCCACTGCAGCAGCACCAGGGCGGAGCTGGTGGCAGTCCGGGAGGCACTGAAGTCCCTGGCGAGCCTGCCGGCCGACTCCCTAGACGCCATCAAGGAGATCCGCCTTTGCACCGACTCCAGGGCGTGTCTACAGACGCTCCAGCGCGGGCAGGCAGCCCAACAGGAGGAGCTACCGGCGAGCATCTGGGCCTCTCTCCATGACCTCACGTGTTCCGGGAAGCACGTCACCTTCCAGTGGGTACCGGGGCATGCTGGCATCCCTGGTAATGAGGACGCCGACAGGCTAGCCAACCGAGCCGCGGCAGAGCTAAGCCAGGCAGCGATCCCGCTGGACATGGCCGGCGCCCGAGCGGCGATACGCCACAGATCCGCCGAGTGGACCGCAGCCCGAGCCAAAGCTCATCCTCACCTACCACCCACGCCCGGACACGAGGACCTGACCAGGTGGGAGCAGGTGACACTGTCTCAACTGAGAGTGGGAAGATCAGTGCTCACAAGGAAGACTCTCCACGAGATCGGTCTTGCGACAAACCCCGACTGCCTGAACTGCGAGGAGGAGGACTCGGTTGCACACTTGCTGACCGAATGCCCAGCGTACGCCCGCATGAGGTCCCGCCTGTGGGGCGGACCTCTGCCGAGCCTGGGGCATGTGCTGGGCGGACCAGCGACTCTCATCTTCGAGTACCTGCGGCGGGTGGGCCGTGTCGACCCCCCGGTCGACGCTGCCACGGCCGTGGCCGCCCCGGCGGCCACGGCGTGACGTGTAGAAGAAGAAGAAGAAGAAGGAGGAGGAAAAGGAAAACCTTGAGGATAAAGAGCATGTAAAAATTGAGGATAAAGAGCATGTCTAGAACGTAATAGAACATGTAATAAAGAGCACGTGATAGAACAACGCTGTAAGGTATATTTTGCTATAAGTTGTGAGACAGAAACAAGAGAAGTAGCTCATAAACCGACCTCGCCCAATGCGGTGTCTGTATCCCAATGAACGGACACAGTATACGGCCACGGCAGCGAGGCAGTGTCTCGACATTAGTTGCCGTTCTGGATCCTCACTCGGCGCCGGCCGGGTCCCTGTTGGCCTATGCCATTCCACCGAACAGCCGGGGACACGGCTGGCGGGTGATACAGGCTCGTCTCTATGGTGGTCCATCCCAGGCGCGGGCCGGGCAGCCGGCAACCCTGCTGCACTGGCCGCCCATCGACCGCCCCCCCCCCCACCGACAGACCGGGGGGGGGGGGCAGTGCTGATGGGGGCGGGCGGGGTGGAGAGAGCAGTTTGATCAATGCTGCGCCCTCTCAGAGGGCACCCTGTACCTACTGCCAATAAGCGCCGATAGAAGGATTAGTGTGGATTGTGGTTTGGGAAACGAGAAAAGATGTTGAAGTATTTTAGTGAAGCTGTTCGATGGCAAATGACTTGAGTTATTTCATGTTTTCTCAAAGTTTTCAGGGCTCTCGTGTGAGTTGACGTCAGTGTCGTAAAATTACAGCCCACAGTTTGATGTTTTTCATTCTTCAAACTCGACTGTCGGGGAGGGCGAGCCTGTCCAGTCGTGGCGCGGCCACCCTCGGCAGACCGACGATCATCGAGGGGCAAAAACACCAACTGACGGCCAACTTCTCCAAATACATGTGCCGCCTCTCGGCAGTGGCACTTTGGAGACCCGAGAGGCCCTCGAGCCGACGCAAACAGCGTCGACTGCGGCCGGAGCTGTCATGCAGCGTCGGCCGAACACACCTACTGTTCGGCCGTGAAACACTACAGCTTCAGACGTGGCACCGTGTAGTTTAGACCTCCAAATACACACCCAATGATGCGAACAAGGCAAGGAGCTAGATGTGTCCGATTTGAAAGATCCAATAAGGAGAAACTTTCTTTGTCGGTTTTATTGTGTCCCGATAATAAAATGGAATGCTAGCTGCTCCACGGCGGTAACGTAAGAGCATACATTAGGCGGGTAAATAACTATCTAGCTGCACAATGCACATTATTACGTTAAACTAACGTCCACACAAAGAAACAAACGTAAAAAGCCCATAAAGTTGCAATGATATATAAATGCGATAGAAGTACAACACCTGACACGGGTTTTCTATCAAAATGTGTTATGTATTTCATTCCTTTAACGTGGAATATCCAAAAGAAGCTGAGTTGCAATAATTTTTTCACGACAAAGGCCTCGAGCACCGTTTGAAGTGTAAATACTACTCCAAAGTGTTTAAATACCTCAAACATTCAGACAGTTAGTAATGCGCCACCGGTGAAATGTGACATAACTCCCATGCTGCGGCACTTTCAAGCATCGAGCAACAGTTGCGCGTCATCACTCCTCACAGTATGCCCACATGACACGAATTTCGGCCTCATAGCTTGCCCTCGATTCCTGGCCCGGATCTTTCTGTCGGTGCCGGCCGCACGTTTCGAGCCCAACAGTCGGCCGACACGAGTCGAGTTCGAACGAAACGACCGGCAACGACCGGGGCGGCGCGGCGCCGACATCGATCTGGGCGCGACCGACACTGACGGCCCAGTGTCGGTCATTACTGCGGCCCATATGCGGCCGGCGGCCGGCGGATGACCCCGGGTCGGGTCACTGACCTTCCCGCGGGGACGCACCGCTCACCGGTCGTCGTCATCGGCAGCGGCGCTGAAACGGCCGGCCGCAGAGAGAAATAAATTATTCGCGGCGCGGCGAGATGGCAGAACGATTCCGTTACGTAACGGAGTGCTGCTGCTGCTCTCGATTGTCTCGAGTTCGAGAACTGATGTCGGGGAAAGTTACGATGACATGAATTGACAGCAAATAATCGCTAACTTTTCATATCACATCAGTCATGGAGATTCGTCTATACATGTGACGCCCATGCTAGCAACTGCTAACCAAGCCTTCACCGTGTTGCAATACCCGTCCCTTACAAACACGGTGGACTGACTAGGTCGCCCTGTCTCCCTCAGCACCGCGACACGCAGGAGACACTGGCGGTGCTCGACCGGCTCGACCTGGACACCGACAAGCCCAACGAGGAGGAGGTGGCCCGCAAATTCGGCTTCGAGGATGACTATTACAACGGCACCGTCTCCTGGTGGCAGAACACTAAGCCCAAGCTGTGGTCACTCTTCGACGAGCCCTACTCGTCGCAGGCAGCGAAGGCAAGTGGTAGATCGGGCGCCCTTCAAACCAAGTGATGATATATTTTCACGTCACGTGTTCGTAAGCCCATCTATTTTATTTAAGCTCTATTTAGCGACTGATCATTATAAAAACTACACCGTTAAGCGCTCCACTAGCTACCAATAACTTACAAACTACTGAACACTCCATAACCCAACACTTCATTGAATGATACCCAACACTTCATTGAATATTTCATCAATTCCGAGGCTCTCGCGGCCCACATCCGGCGCTCGGCTGTCGGCGCGTGGCCTCTGGCGGCTCTGTGAACGCTCTCTTTGTGCCAGCGGCCGCGGTCACCGTGCCGGAGAGAGCTGCCTCGTGGCCGGGTCGCTGCGCCGACAAAGCCGAGCTCTGAGCCGCGCTAAGCAGTCCCGCGTCCGATAGGACTGCCGGAGACGAGTGATTGTGGCCAGATTGGCCTCCAAAGCCGGCCTTAATTGCACCCAGTCAGCCACCAGCGGGCTCGTTTGAGCCGCTCGTGGCTGGCGCCGTGGCCGGATGACGGAACTAGACTGATGGCTATCGCGGGATTTGAATACAAATTCTTCTTGCTATGTCTGTCTGTAGGTCTGTGTCTGTCTGTCCGGTGTCAGCCGTTCTGTCGGTTTGTTCGTTTGTCAGTCTGTCAGTCCGTCTGTCTGTCGGTCTCCTATTCGATCTTCCTCATGTTTATACGAATGTCAATTTATCCGTGAGGCTGCGCGTGATTTTTTTAAGCGGATGATGTTACATTAATTATTACGGCACGTTTCGGAGCGAGTTTTAACCTAATTATGATATTCTGAAATGTTTTCTTCTGTCGAGATTCTTCGTTAGATAAAGGCGGCTTGTACGGCGCCTTTTCTGTCTCTTGACTAGATTTCATTGGAGAGAACGCACTCAGCTTAATTCCAACAAAGTGGCAAGAGTCCAACCAAAGGTCCAAACATTTTTATCAGACTTTTGAACCCAACATGGCCGTACTAACGAGCCACAATGCCGTAAGCAAAACAATGTCCAGTAGGTAGACGTTGCGTATCTCCCTTATAATCATGTTGTCTAACATGTTGCTGACAATCGCCTAATAGCTCGCACAAAAAACGATCGTGCTATTCCGGAAAGTGTTAAAAAAAAACACCATTGCTGATGCCGTTTCCTGTTTCAGATTGTCGGCATCATCAGCGTGTTCTTCATTTGCATCTCAATCGTGTCATTCTGTCTCAAGACGCATCCGGACATGCGCGTGCCCTGCATCAAGAACGTCACCGTACAGACGGCCTTCAACGGCACCGCCTGGACGCTGGACAAGTTCAAAACCAATCCGCACGATGCCTTCTTTTACATCGAGTGTGTCTGTAACGCGTGGTTTACGTTCGAGATCTTGGTCCGCTTCGTGGCGTCGCCCAACAAGAAGGCGTTCGTCACGTCTTCGGTCAACATCATCGACTACATCGCCACGCTCAGCTTCTACATCGACTTGATGCTGCAGAAGTTCGCCGAGGACGTGGAGAATGCCGATATTCTAGAGTTCTTTAGCATTATTCGTATAATGAGACTGTTCAAGCTCACGCGGCATTCGAGTGGGCTTAAAATTCTGATGCAGACATTTCGCGCCTCGGCCAAAGAGCTCACCCTTCTGGTATTCTTCCTGGTGCTTGGCATTGTCATTTTCGCCTCGTTAGTCTATTACGCCGAGCGGATCCAGGTGAACCCGCACAATAACTTCAACTCGATCCCGCTGGGACTCTGGTGGGCGCTGGTCACGATGACCACAGTCGGCTACGGAGACATGGTGCCCAAAACTTACGTGGGGATGTTCGTCGGCACCCTATGTGCCTTGGCAGGCGTGCTGACGATTGCTCTGCCCGTGCCTGTCATAGTCTCCAACTTCGCCATGTACTATTCGCACACGCAAGCGCGCGCCAAGCTGCCCAAGAAGCGCCGGCGAGTGATAGCCGTCGAGCAGGTGCGGCCGGTCGCCCGCAAACCGGGCGGCAACGGGCCAGGCGGCAACGGCGGCAACCGCGGCGCCGCGCAGAAGAACCGCAAGGAGAGCATGGGTGAGTGAGGGGACGGCGACAGCCGAGGGCCGCGCCAGGCACGTGAGTACCCGCGGCGGACGCCCCGTGCCGCCGCCGCCGCCCAGCCGCTGCCTCAGACCGTCAGCTAGCGGACGGTCGGCTGTTTTGATTAGAGCTAGGGCTGCCGCCACTCCGAGCACGCCATGCAAACAGGTGCGCCTAGCTAGCCGTGCGTGAGAGGCTCCGAGAGGTTGTTTGCCCAAATGAGCTGTACAGTCTGTGTGCCAGCCCCGTGCGGTCTGTTTGACTCTGTTGTTGACGTGTATGGAGTTCCAGCGGACAGCGACCTGCCGACAGTTGCAGAAACGCACACTCGTACCATCCCCAGAGTTGTCTCATTCTCAGAGCTGACGACGGCTTGCTTTTGATTGACTTGCAGGCGGACCCTAGCTTTATCACGTGCCCACTTGAGAACGATGCTTTTAGCCTATCGACTGACACGACCAGCAGAGATTCGGAGCGCATGTGGCCGCAGCTGCTGGGACAGCTGTGGGGCCGCTGGCCAGCCGCGTCCCCCGGTCGGCGCTGACCCGGCCGGCCGCCCCGGTCGGTCTCAGGAGCTGTGACGCCGGCGGCGGCGGCGAAAATCGATCACCGTACGACCCGCGCCCCGACCGGCACTGTCCCTCCCCGCCCGCCCCCGAACCCCACGGCACTGTCCCTCCCCGCCCGCCCCCAACCCCGGCGGCACAATGTTCCACAGCCAGTATTAACACTCTGTGCTCTTTCTAGGCTAACACGCCGGTCAGGTAGAGACGCCTGTTCGGGTTTTCGCACGGTGTTTGTCAGTGGACCCCTCGTGTAGCCGTAGGACGCGGAGCACCCGGCCCGTAGCGTCTATTCCGCACTTTGCTAGTCCTGTCGATGTTCTGTGAACTTCGCTCGGGGTAAGCCAGCCGGCAGGGACCTGACGGGTGGGGAGGGGACCTGGCCTGCGCCCGCTCCCCGGCAGGAGCTCGTTTCCAGCCAGGCAGCGCCTAGAACGATACCTTAGCTCCATTAGTCGGCAAATGGAGCCGAGGAAACCATTAGAGGCTCGTTTGGGGGTCCAATCAGGTTACAAGAGAGGCGGCCCCGTTTTTCGAGGTCGTCTCTGTATGCATTGAGCCCGCCAGGACAAAGTTTTGTTTATGGGAGATGCCCTGGCTGCCAAATTGACCGGGCGGGCGGATTTGTTCACTCGCAACACGCATGCCATGAAATCTATTCTGGAATCCATGGCGGCGATAGGCAAACGTTGGCCGTTTATTTTCGCACGCGCCGGCGGCGACGGTGCATTGAGCGTCTGGGCGGCAAATGGTTTCGTGCCGGTCGGTTCGGCGCTGGCCGACCCCTGGGATCGATCCTAGATGGCCCCGCGCACTGCATCGGGAAATGATGACTAGAATCAGACTAGAAGGACTGGTAGCTAGTGCCTGGAGGACCGCCGCGTGGCAAGCAGTTCGATAAGGTTGCGAAAGTTGGATCATGCGACTGAATGCGAAGTGTCGGAGTATGCATACTTGCCTGCAAACTTACTAGATCGATTACACGTAACCGTGTCTGTGTGCCTGCGAAGTAACGATAAAGCGGCGCGCGGTGTGTTCTGAGGTTCGTGTGGCGCGTAACGCGAGGACACGATTCAGCCAGCGGTGGGACTCTGCGGCACGAACGGCAATCGGGTCGGGTCGGCGCCGTGTCGTGACACAAGGTCACTAGGTGCGTGCAGCGGCCGCCGGCGGCGTCAGCGGCCCTGCCGCGGTCAGCTGCGATGGCGCCGCGGCAGTCATTAGCGGTGACGTCACCGCACGAGAGCCGCCATCGTCGCAGCGGCGCCGCCATCGCCGCCGCCGGGGCGCGGCGCCTGCCGGCGGACGATAGCGCCGCCGCCGCGAGGCCGCCGATGGACACTGCCCTCAATTAAAAGTTGGACAGCCGTGTCGTCGGGCACGCCCGCGCCGTGTCGCTGGTTTGCTGTTCGACGGTGGCCGGCCGTCTGTCTGCCGCGGCTCGGCGGTCGCTCGGACCCGGCTCGGTGGACGCTCGGGCGGCGCCATGGGCGGCCGGCAGCGGAGGAAGGCTGGCCCGCTGGCCGAGTTGGCCCGCCGCCAGCTCTCTGGACGGCGGGCCCGATCTCCGAGCGCCCGCCGCGCACGGCGGTGCCATTTTTCTCCGGCGGCTCGGCCGGCTCATCTCGTCCGGCGACGGCGCGCCCCAGAATTATTTGCAGGGATTCGAGAATGCTCATCGCCGCATTATGGACGGTTCTTTATCACGAGCGGTCCGGCCTGCGAACGGCCTGCTTGGGGCGCGCTCGGTCGAACCACGCGCCGCCGACCCAGCACCGACCGCTGTGTGGTCATGTGAGAAAACAGGCGCACTCCACTCCGCTCCTCTCTGAACGCCCTGTGAATGGTCTGAGGCACGCGAGATGAGCTGGGATCAGCACGAATTGTCCGGGGATCCAGGCACCCTCTGCGAGTAAAACTTGGACCGACGGTATTTTTGAAATGTTCGGCACATACGAAAAACGTTCTTCCATTGGGACTATTCTGTGGGAACTTCGGCGCATCAAGAGTATACCCGCAATAAGAACTTGACTCTTAGCCATCCTAGCGCAGCCTTTTAAGGGCTGTGCACAAGTGATTTAATTACCCTAATGTAAGTAATTTAGGCTAGTTGAATTTAATTGGGTATGTTTTCACTTCTTTACGGGCTTGGAATATTCCAATAACCACCTTAAAAATAATATTGAATGTTTGGCTGTCTGAATTGTGGATAGTGTACCTAATACTGACAAAACTGAAAGGAAAGGTTATCTCTGAGAAATAGACTGTAACGAAACATAGCAAGATAAATGAATTCCTTCGTATCAGAACAAATAAAGTGAATTAAAATATGCAACGACCTAAGGCACATAACCGTGTTAGGCACTCTGTACGGAATGGTGGCATTACGCAAACGACCATCAAATTAAATTTTCAAGTAATCTCAAAGATAAAGTACAATACAACTTAACAAACAATGACTTACATTCTTTACTGCCATGGCGCCACATTGCCACGAATGTAATTTACTCAGAACGGAATCTCTCTTGACCACGCGAAATGATGGAAAGGTTATCAGAATTCAGAACCATTTCAGTTAAATGCAGCACTACTCCACAAAGTACCCAAACAGAGTTACCTACTCTTATTTTGAACAATGCACAGTGCACAATTCACACCTTTTAATCAGTTGCGGTTACCCTGCTACTACGTTTGAAAGCCTTTTGTATCTGTAGAACGTTATGCATCACGTTCTGTTCGTTGTGCCATATTTTGTTTTGCCATGCATCATACATCCATTTTGTACGCACATTTTAGTAGCCTGGTATCACGTTACGTTTTCATCAGCGATGTGTTTGGTTTGTTTCGTTTCAGCGTGGACGTGCACGGGTTCGAGTGGCGCCCTGGTACCGCTGGTACCGCGCGCGCCGGCCACCGGCCCCTACCCGTACCCTCCGTCCCGGCCGGCGGTACCCGCGGTACCGGCCCTGCCCAGTAACGGCGCGGCCGTCAGCGTCGGCAGGGCGGCCGCCGAGCCGCTGTTGCTCGTCTGCCAGCAGCGCACCACACCCAACGAACACTTCACAGTGCAGACACTCAATCTGGCGCTGTAGCGCGCCGCGTCCGCCGGCACCGCGCCGCCGCTCGGCCGGCTGCAGACGGCGGTGACAGCGGCCCGAATCACCCACCACCAGACGACAGCGCGCCAGGCGACGGCCGCCAAATACACCAACTTTGGGTCTTTCAACTCGCGGTTCGCAGATCTGGGGCGCCGGGCTCTGAGCGTTTCGCTCGAACTCCCAGTGACTCAAGTGTCTGAGAGTTGGATGTTATCGGCACCGACATCCATGCCAATCTGTCAGCCCAGTCGCGCGAGTGATGACCTGTTAGCTTTTGACGTTGTCTCAGAATAAAACTCGCCTTTGTAGACAAGCGTCAGTTTGACAACACTGGCTCCTCTGTTATCATGTAGTACCTTCTCTAAACAAGCGGTCTTTTGTCGGGCATCTCCGGTGGCGCCGAGTGCTTTTCGAAGAGAGATGAGGAAGCTGCATCCGATAGATTTTCTCCCATATGCAAGCTCCACAAAAACACGTTTCTCTCGAGCAATACAGAATCGGATTTGCTCCCATCAACTGTTGTAGCAGCTTACATAGCTCGGACCTCTGTTGCCCTTACTCCGACAGCTGCATTAGTGTCCCACTAATCCCAATGCCGGACCGGGCCGGTGTCGGGGCATCCGGGTCGCCACCTCCTGTCCCACTGCGAACCGCAGGCAGTCCGTAAGTGCCGCTAACTTCTCCGCCGACCGGTGACCGTCGCCGGCGCCGGCGGGCCGCCCGAGTCACCCTCGACCCGGGGCCGCGACCGCCCACGGTCCCTCCCGCCGGCCATCGACCATGGCGCCGCACTGCCATCTGGGAGCCGACGAGCGAACTAGCCGACCGGTCGGCCGCCCCACCCCCAGCCCATTGCCCCGGGCGAGAGAGGGGAGGGGCGGGCGGGCGCACGGCTGCCGAGTACCTTACCAGACACCGCCGGCCGACGTCCGCGTGAGGGATACGCATGCCACCCGGGCGTCTGGCCGCCGCCGGCCCCTGAGGTGTGACCCGCATGGTGTGCTTCGCACAGCGCTGCCTCGCCATCTGTCTCTCCGCAGGCGCTCGGTGGGCTTTGGGTGACTTTCCGGCGGCTGTCCCGGTCACTCGGGGAGCCTGGCTGCCGGGCTCGGTGTGCGGTCCCTCTGTCGGTTTCCCTGCGCTCTATCTCTCTCCGTCTGAGTGTTGGACTGCCTGCCTGTCTCTTCGGCTGGCTCTATCGGCTCCGAGTGGCGTGTCGCCCCCCGCGCTGGCCGCCGCCGCCAATCGCCGGCTCTATGGGGATCGATGTCGTATTGTGTACGTGTTTGTGTGTGTGGGTGTGTGTTTGTTTGTGGTGGTTTCGTGTACCTACTGACCCAATGTGCGAGTGTGGTTCCCATTTTGATGCCCGATTCACTGACGGGTAGACTGAGGTCCGTACTAGACGATGTAAGAATACGTGTCTTACTGTCATTGGTTGTCAAATGTTAATTGATAGCGTTCATCCATTGTCATTATGACTGTACTTTTATGCTGACTGCAACTCCAGATTCCGCAATTAACAAAGCCTTACTGGAGCTCAGGTATATATCTGCTATGGTTGTTGTGTACGTAGATACTAACCGCGCGCTGCCCTTTGACTAGCGTTTAGTCGCTTGCTTCGTGTCGCTAACCAGTGCCGTGTTTCTTTCAGGCATCGCTTCCAATAATACTACAAACGGGACTAAGGGCTTAGCTAGCGTTGGACCGTAATCCTCCCCCACCTGTTCCCCTCCTTCCGACTCCGAGCCACCGCCCGCCCCTCCCCACCGCCAGCGACATAGGCTCAGCCACCACGCCTCAGCATCCAAGTAAAGTACCTCACCACGGCGTCAGTCCTAGTCTCTCTGCGTGTGCTCTTCTGTTCTGTTCTGCAGCCTAGAAAGCGAACGAGTTCTCAGTCTGTGAAGCTCGACGGCTATCTTGGAAGTAGTTTTTCGTTCGGAGCTTCTTTCACTCTGTTCTATCCTTTAGAAAACATCTCTTCTCTATTCTTGAAACGCTTTCGTTCTCTTCACGTGTACCTACCTTTCACAAGCGAATACAGAAAACCCTGCACTCAAAACAATGTCATCAATGTTGGGACCTTCACGCTGGCAAAGCTAACACCGGTCACTTATATCTGTTCAAAAGCTTTCAATCTCTGCCGATGTCTCCTCCGCTTCCTTCCTTCCTGCTACTGTCTTACTGTTTAGCCTCTTCTAGCCTCTGCCATCTGTCGAACACTGTGCATATAGATGTCGTCTAGGTCGCTTTCCGACACCTCACTTCTAGATAGCTCCGTGTACCATACAGCTACCACGCTTGGAACACTGGTGGCATGAGATGCAACTGTGCTCGTCCTGTGTTTCGGCCGTGGGTGCTCAGTGACTTGCATAACGTGAATTAAGGGGCACTGTAGTCAATAAGTAGTGACAAATTGTACGGTAAAACATAACTAGTGTCTTGGTGATAGTGGTAGACCTAGTCTTATCAACAGTATCCGCGACTGCATCATGAACTGAGCGCCACTCTGGGCCAGACTGTGTCCGTGTCTCTCTCTCTCTCTCTCTCTCTCTCTCTCTCTCTCTCTCTCTCTCTCTCTCTCTCTCTCTCTCTCTCTCTCTCTCTCTCTCTCTCTCTCTCTCTATCACTCTGTCCGCACGCCACGCACACGCTGCTAATGCCCGTCCGTCTATTCCAGTCGGCCTAGGCATGACCTCGATGGCCATGCGCCTAAACCCGAACGGCGTCGGCCTGGAGGCGTCTCTGGGCGCCGGCCTGCTGCCCGGCTCTCTGGGCGCGCACCTGCTGGGTCCGGCGCTCACCGTCTCCTCTCTGCCGGCCGCCCCCGCCCCGGCCTCCGCTCCCAGTCCGCCCCCCGCCCCGGCCCCGGTCCGACCCTCGGCCACCCTGAGCCCGCTGGCGGCCCCCGCCGGCGGCCGGCCCAGCACGCTCAGCGGCAGCCGCTCGGTGGGCCTGCTGAGCGCCTCCGCCGCCGCCGCCGCCGCGCCGGCCGAGCGGCCCTCCCCGACCGGCTCTCTGTCGCGCCTGCTGCCGCTGCCGCCGACCTCGTCGTCGCCGTCGCTGCCGCCAACATCGACACCGACACCGTCAGCGGCGCCGGCGGAGCGGCCGGCCAGTTCCGCCTCCCCGGTCCCGTTCCAGTGCTAGCCGCCGAGCGCGCCAACTCAGACAGTGGGCTGTCGCCGCCGCACCGACCAGTGATATACACGTTACACAGACTATGGTGATAGCAGTGTTTTAGACGCCGGCGCCGGTGTCTGCGTCTCGGGCCGATGAACCGCGTGTACTTACTTCGTAGGCCCTCTTGAGTGAATGATTTCATAAGGCATTGTTTGTAGAGTAGTAGCGATGATGCACTAGTTAGCCGTTTCGATGCACATATCTCGCCATGGTCGCCACCGAGTTGGCCCTTCACCCGACTCTGTCCTCGGTCACCGCGCTGTTATCTCTCACTGAATTACCGGCCCGCGCTCACTGCGTGGCCGACGCGCTGTTATCTCTCACTGAATTACCGGCTCGCGCTCACTGCGTGGCCGACTGTATGCATAATGAGAGCCGCCGGCGGCCCGACGTCGCCCTTTTAGCGTCTCAGATAATTCCAGCACTCGAGTTTCTTCCACGTTATCTCTCTCTCTCTCTTTCTCACCTGCACGCGCTTTTGAGTTGGGTTTAGCTGTCGATTGTTACATTTTTCGGCATGCCAGAGCAGTGGGTATACCTCTGTCGTGAGATGCCCTTTGTGCGTTGAAGAGGATAAGTCTTATTCTTGTCGTTTCACAATACGAAGGGGCCAACTGTTGTAAGATTTGAAAATAGACCTGGATGCTGTTGTGATTTACTTGTTATTCCTAGATTTTGGGTTGAGCAGGCTTTAGGGTAAGGGGAGAAGAGCGGTAACTAAAGCTTTAGTACTGTACAGGCGAAAGCGTATCCGAATACCTATTACTAGTGAGAAGATGCAGTTCGTGTTTCGTGCCGCCATTCATGCATTACAATAGGATGCAGTCACAGTGCTCCTTCTGGGTAGACTCGCACTCTAGTCGCTCTGCGTAGCGCTCTGTCGAACGCTCTCTGACCGTGTACATACCACCCGGAGCGCCTGGCCTCCTCCGCTGTAGGGCTTGTAAGGTGCACCATATCAAACTCATCTCGCTAGCCCGGCGCGCGCTCCCCGCGGATCGGTTCGGCCGAGCGCCTCCTGTCGCCGCTCGCTCCAGTCGAGCGGACTCTCGCGTCGCGCGCGGTGTCGCGGTGGGCGCAGCGGCCCTCTCCGAGCCGCCGCTGCCGCTGCCCACCCACTTGTGTCAGCGGCAACACGACAGATCATGTATTTTCCAACCCATGTCATTTATGGTTGTTTTTCGAATGTAAATATCCTTCTTTAAATACAGAAGATTACTCAATTCCTACCGGGTTGTTTGTGGGGTGAAGTCAGAAGCCTTGGTATCGGCTCATCAGCAATGACACTTCCCGGCCGGCGCGGTAGTCAACAGCAGAGCTTTGCAACAGTTTAGAATGCCCCAGCGACTAGCAAGCAACATTATACTAGACGTAACCAAAAAGAAGGTTGTCATATATGTCAAAGCCTCTCATATGAGCTTGTCGAGAAGAGAGCCGCTGTATTAGCTGAAATAGCTCAATTCGATTATAGTTTGCGACAAAAATAGCTTTCAAGGCTGAAAACTTATTATAACCGGTCCCAGTTCTGACACGGCATCGGAAATCAATATCAAGCGTATCGCATAATACATACTACAGCTTCTTGAAACCCTACGCAACCTCGTTCCATCTAGATCTATCCACCTTTCAAATCCGTAGCCGATGACATAAAAATACTTGAGCGATAGCTTCGTAAAGAATGCAAAACACTTAAAGGTAGTGTGCCACCTTTGAAAGATTTCCCATTTTATTTTTCCTAGGATAAGAAGCTTCTGTTTTTACCTAATATCGCAAAGAAAATCAAAAATGGGCCTGGAATAGTGCCTTTTTCGCCTAAAAGTTTATCGGTTTTTCGATATGTATGACAACTGTAGTGGGCGACCTGCAAACAGGCGTCGGCAACAACCGCGAATGCGGCGCACATGTGACAATAAGCAAAGGTCATTATATGTAGAGTTACGACGTACGGGAATGAGTTATCAGCTGTCTAATCAAAGACAACACAATGTCTAGCCTTAAACTGTAAGCCTGTATTGGTATTGTTTCTTTTATTTGGCTGTCGAACATTATTTATGGTTTGAAATATGATTTTATGTAAAATAATTGATATGAAAAAGCCGTCTCTTAAGTTATGACCCCAGTTCACCACACGCAAGTGGCAGAAATGACAATGATCAGCTGACGCATTTTTCTTGGCCGAAGTCAGAGCGCGCGGCCCGACGCACCACCACCGCACCACAAAGTATGAGCAGAAGCCGCGCCCAAAGCCAGGGCCCCGGTAACGTGAGGTAGCCGAGTCGGGGCAGCGTGCGCTGACCCAAGACGGGGCCGCAGCTTTGGGCGCGGTCTACCGCATCCCCGCGGGCAGCCCCGGGCTATCACATGACACCGGGAGGACGCGCGGCCCCGGCTTGGGTCAGCGCACGCTGCCCCGACTCGGCTACCTCACGTTACCGGGGCCCTGGCTTTGGGCGCGGTCTACCGCACCACCTAACAGGCGTGTTCGAGACCGCAGGAGATGATGATGAACGGGTTTATCGAAACTTGATTGGATGAGCATATCGGTAATAGCGATTTCAGTGTGTGCATTTATTGTTCATAGTGGTGTGAAATGTGGTTGGGGTACGACCGACAACCCGTCGGGGCGAATTTCGCACTGGGGTACTCAAAATTTGAAGAATTTAAGACGTTTCCATGAGTTTTGAAGGTATGGATAAGTTCTAAAAATCCGGTTCTCCTTATCTGGGCCATTAACTCCATACGGTCCAGGAAAGCTGGCACACTACCTTTAATGGCAAGCATCCATGAAAGCCAAGACAGCAATAAAAGAAGCTGCTGGACGCCAATTTCACATTAAAACTGGAGCAAACATCATAGCTGATTTGCTTTTTGGAAACTGATCGTCCTTAGCGGCAGCCGCCAGCCGCGTCGTGCGGGTTAGTCTATCCACAGGCGGCATGCTGCGCCGCACGACAGGCGGGCGTTGCGGTACAGCCTACCTACACAGGCAGCGGCCGCTCGCCGACTACAGACGTCCGGAAATATCAGCAGGAACCGAGTAAAAGGCTGCTCCGTAGCGCTCGGCAATGTGGTCGTGCTGCGCGGTACGCACTCCGCAAGAACGGATGGCCAAACTGCCGAGAACGACTGATGACGTTTGACTAACCTAGGCTGAACCGACTGTTTGCGTACTCGATGTACGAAAGCTGACCGTGCTAGGACGGTTTCATCAAATGATTTCACCTGCTGCAGCCTAGCCTTGCGGCCTTATGTTGCACCAGAATTTCCAATATCTCACTCCAGGCGACGATAGTTCTTTATGAACTCCGCTCGTCCTTCAACTCATCCAATACCTCGATATTCCCATTCAGCGGGATGTTCGAGTCATGATCGCACTATATCCCCGGTCATGTTTATCAAAAAGCTGGGGATCGGATGATAGGGATTTTTGGAGTCAAAGACCACCAGCTGAAAACCTTGCTAGCTGGCATAGAAAATAAAGGATTTGAAGAACTCATAATGGCACCCGGAATAATATCTATTGTAATTGCATCTGACACAAATTCTGCAATACTTGCAGTCTTGAACGTCCCACAAAATACTTCATACAAAATGACAAGTGTTGAAACCGATTGTAGCAGCTAGTTATAGGAGCTTTCACCGAAAAGAACATAACCATCATAAACATATGTCGTAAAAAAGACCGATAGCATGTGGAATTTCAAGTGCAAGAGCACTTCCGAACTAGCGACGCAGGTCATCAAAACCCTGGCTGCGCAAAACGAAATAGTAAACTAGCATTTAGTTATATTTCACGAGACCAGCAATGCACCACACCATCCCTAAACACCGATATCACATCGCTCGGGGCGGCGCAGCGAGGAATGCGGCGACCGGGCGCGGCACTTTAAAACGGAACGGAACCAATCGCCGCCGGCCGAGTCGCCGTACACCGTAAAACATCGCCCTCCCCTGCCACCCGATAGTGGCCACCGACTTAAAGCAAACACATTCGAGCGCGAGAAATGCCCAGGCCCAGCAGCGACCGATTTCATAGCCGAAGTAAGTGTCTCCATAGCTTGACGGGCAAAATAACGTAACTGTTTCCTAGATCCTACCATTCTAGTGTGAGCTGCTTATATTGGGGCGCGATACACGTAAGCATTATCTTGTTAGCGCGTTCGGCTACGCGTTTCTGTTCCTCCCTCTCAGGGAGGCTTGCGTTCTCCGTCAAGCATTCACGATTTGTGTTAACGCCACTCGAAGAGCGATAAGTTATTAACGTGGCATTTTCAGCGTCGTAGCAGCGTCACGCACCCTTCTCAATATTGTCCACCAGATCACTCTCTGAACACTCGCGCACACTCTGGACTGATGCGTCGTTAAATAACCAAGACAACAAACAAACCTCTGAGACAAAGCAGCCGTCCCTCTCGCACGGCCCACCGCTGAGTTTTCGGGAAAACCTCTGAATTTTCCCAGCGTAAGCAGGACCGGCAGTTCAACGGAGCCAGATCTGGCGTGATTCCAGGCTAGTGATCTGGCATAGAACTGAAGGGGAAGCAGAGGCTAGCTCCATAGCCGCGGATGACTACATATACACAGTGCAGCACCGATTCAACTCCAGTTCATCGGAAGGCAACGCGCAGAGTCGCGTTCGAACACTCACGTTGGAGGTGCGCCGGTGTCAGCGCCGCCTATATGTCGATGAGGACGTCGGTGGGCGGCTCGACCCGGCCGGAGCTGGGGGCGGCGGCCGGGACGGTGTCTGAGACACTGTCGTCCAGCTCGACCAGCGAAAGCTCCACACCTCCTGTCGAGAGGGAGGGCATCGGACCTCAGCTGACGGACGCTGATCAGTAGACGCAGGTGAGGTGCTATTCAACGTGAGATAAATTATAGGTTGCCTAATTGTTCACTGCTCAAAGAGAGCAAGCAAAAGCAGCAACGCATACACTGCTTGCATGGAACGATAAGTAGCTCGACGAACTAACGATTAACCAACGAACCTCACCTGACAATTATTACAGATCATGCAAGTGACTTCTTTGAGAAACCAGAACAAAAGACTGAATAAGACAATACTGAATAAGACATGCGTCTAATAGCGCTATCATCCTATTCACAAGAAAACGAAAACGCGCTGAGTTCCCTGAAGCAAATAACTGAGACATTTGCCACACATACACTCACAAAACAAGCTTGGCTCCAAAACGAGTAGTTATTTGGCACAACATGGCAGTGACATCTTACCTAGACTTTCTCGGTGTGAGAAATTCAGGGACTGATTGAAATCCCCAGGACCAAAGACACTCAGAGCCAGAGCTTCCGCCATCTGAAAAAGGACACACGAAATTCGTTAATAAATCACACGCGACTGAGCAGAAACCATCAATTCTTTAACCAGGCAAAAAGTTTGGAAAAGGCACAACGAATCTTAAAAAAAAAAACATTGGCTGCAACATCAAACACCTGAAACCTGCAATACTCAATGTTTTTGCTCTAAGCATTTTGAAGGACACCAACAACAGCATCGGTAAACAAGACCACGTGCTACACTGAAACGCGTCTACAAAACCTAATCAGCGATCACCGTGGGGCAACACAAACGACCCAGCTGCACAAACAGTCACCCGGTGTCGGGGTATGAACTGCTCCAGTTACCAGACACCATCCCGCCCCAGCCTCTGTTCCTCCCCCCTCTCACCTCATCGTCCAGGTGGCTGAAGTCGGTCTCACTGGTCACTGCCGGCCCCTCCGCCCCAGCCGCCTGCGGACTCCGCCCGAGCACCGGCTCAGGCTGCGGACTCCGCCCGAGCACCGGCTCAGGCTGCGAACTCCGCCCGAGCACCGGCTCGGCCTGCGAACTCCGCCCGGCCGGCGACCCCACGGCGGCCGGTGGGCTGGCTGAGACACCGGCCGCGGCCGCCGGGGAGAGTCCCGTCTTCGTTCTAGGAGTCCGGGCTCCGAATTCAAAACCCTTCTCAGGAGTTCTGACGCCCACTCCATTCTCCTCAGCAGTTCTGACGTTGACTCCAGTCCCCAGCTCAGCAGCCCAGACCCCATTCGGAGACAGCGGCGGGTGGGTGGTGCCCGGCCCTGACCGGGTCCGTCGCCGCGAGGTCCCCGCTGTCTGTGACAGCTCCGCCGCCACTGGTGAGCCGGGGCCGGGGAGGAGGCGCGTGCCGTCCTGCCACGCCACCCGCGGCAGAGCCGCGCCCTGCGGAGAACTGGGGCCGGACCGGCTCAGCCTGCCGTCCAGCCGGGAGCGCTGGCCGTGAGCGGACAGCCACGCGCCTCCGCCGGCTGCGGACACCTCCAGCGGCGCCGGAGAGAACACCGAGTCACCGCCAGCTACCGGCGACTGGGTCAGCGAGCGGAGGAAGGCGGATGTCTGCTCCCGGAGCCGCATCACTTGTGGTGAGGGTGAGTGCACCACTGACGCCGCTGTGGTGCCGCCCGCACCACTAGCTCCAGCACCAGCGGCGGAGGCACCACTTGTCACAGGTGTGACCGGAGTCAGTCCCGGGGAGTCGGCGGCGCCGTGAGCGGTCGGTGACCGCGCCCGTGAGCCGTCCCCGCCGGGTCGGGCCGTCTCCAGCACAGAGTCCAGAGACGACACTGAGCCGGCCACTGACGAGCGCGCCGCGCTGCCCGCTTCGCCACGCAGCGGAGAGAACAGCGACGAGCACGAGCTGAGTCCGGTGGCGGAGCGGCCGGCGCGGCCCGGAGTCGGCGTGAGGCGTGTCTCAGTGTCGCCCCAGGCCGGCTCCGGTGGCGGCCGGGACAGGTCTCCGACGGCCGCCGGAGAGGGCCGGTCCTCCGTGGGCCCCGGAGACGGGCCGGTGAGCTGGACCGCGGGCGCTGCGGCCACGGGGGAGGCCCAGGGCGAGCCGCCGCCGGCCGTCACCGAGGTCAGACTGGAGAGACGGCTGCTGCAGGAGGGGTCTGCGTCCGCGCCCTGCTCCAGGTCCAGCTGCGGGGGACGGGGAAGATCAGCTCAGTACAGCTGGTAGGCAAGCTGAGCAGCGTGCGAGGGGAAATTCCGCAGACATCGAATGGAGCATAGACAACGAGTAGTCAGTCGTCAATTAGCACTGAGCAGACTAGCCCGAGGACAGCAAACGCTAAACACATTCAACGGTTCTCGACCTAACATTACTTTATAATTACCATAGTGCCAGTTCACGATACTGTTTCCTTGCCCCTAGACAAAGAGCGAAAGCACAGTGAAAGCAGCACATACTGACTGGTGTCCATTCAGGAGCACATAACACAAAACTGCGGCATTGCAGCCGTCCAGCTGCATCACGAGCCCAGGGCCTCCTCTAAGGAATTTTCACTGGGGGGGGGGGGGGCAGAGGCTCAGAAGCCAAACCTAGGGTACCCCCAAATCCGGTTTTCTCATCGGATTTAGGCCACTTATCTTTCGTCACACCCCTGATGCCATGATTTTTATTTTTATTTTGAAAAAAAATAAAGAAATAGTAGGCCGCCTGACCAATATACCCTGGCCTGACCTACCGGTGGATCTAGACCGGCACGGGCAGGGTGACATTTGGGGTAAATATCCCCCGCGCAGCGTCCGAAATCGACGAAAATTTCCGGCTTTCCGAAAATGAAACAAAATGCCTTTATTAAAAAGTATTAAACGGCACAGCAGTGCGTAAGGAATCTAACTGACCGCAGAAAGTGTGAGGGCTTAGGTATCGATTTCCCAAACGCTGCAAAACAGCTACCTGCCTGAAAACAGCTCACCATCCTAAAAAGCTACTTGCCTGAAAATGACTCAAGAAACAGGCCACAGGTCAATGAGAATGAGGGTCAGGGAACAGGGTAATAACATTTTCAGTAAATGTGTAGAATTGAAGTGATCACGAGAATACCTACTAAAACTTTTGCCAGCTGGGCCACTTTTTACGCGAGTTGTTCGCAAAAAAAACCTAGGGGTGGGGTATATCATACCCCTCAATAAGTGAGAGGGCTTATCGCTGCTAGTCCCAAACACTGGGGAAAAAACGTTTTTATCGTGCTATTAAGCTCAGCCGCACTCTTATTTGACCGTAGAAAAATTTCTCTTCAAGAATAAACCCGTCTCCCGAAAAAACAATACTTCTCCGTGTTAAACCGTAAGCGCTTGACTGATTGAGACTATAGAGGGCGACCGTTCGGCCTGTTTCCTTCTCAAAGTGATGCCCCGTTCGGGCTTCAGTCGGCGTTCGATTGTAAAATCTGCCATGTCTGACCTCATTCCGCGGCTCATCCTAGGCGGATCTGTAAAAAAAACCTGTAGATAAGAAACCAACGATATAAGGAAACTAAAATTAGTAACGTGGTGATCCTGGAGATAGTCTGGATTGTTTGTTTGGTAAGCTTATAGTGAAATTTCCTCGTTTTTCTACGTGATTTGCTTAACTGCGTGGCCCCCCAGTGACGCGATTTCAGCTCCACTGGGGGGGCCAGCGGCATCACTGGGGGGGCCGCGACCCCCCCAGTTAGCATGTTAAAGGAGGCCCTGCCCGAGCCGCCGTTCAGTCCCGGCGCACATACCTTGAGGCCCCCTGTGGCCGGCGAGCGGTACATGTGTTTGAGCGGGTGGTCGGCAGGCGGCGGCACCGGCGCGCCGCTCAGGCTCCAGTTGGGTGTGCGCGGCGCCAGCAGCGGCGGCGGCGACGGCGTGGTGGTGCGGCCGCGCGCGCGCGCCGGCGGCGGCGGCGGCTCGGCAGCCTGCAGCCGCTCCACCCGGCGGCTGGTCGACTCGGTCTCCGTCTCCAGCCGGGCCAGCAGCTGGCTGGCGTCAGCCGAGAGCTGGGTGGCCTCGCGGACCAGCGGCGGCAGGGTGCCGTGCAGACCTGGGCGAATAGGGACAGAACACAGTGACAGACCTGGGCGAACAGGGACAGAACACAGTGACAGACTTGAGCGGACAGGCAGAACACAAAGACAGACATGGGCGGACAGGGACAGAACACAGTGACAGACCTGGGCGAACAGGGACAGAACACAGTGACAGACTTGAGCGGACAGGCAGAACACAAAGACAGACATGGGCGGACAGGGACAGAACACAGTGACAGACCTGGGCGAATAGCGACAGAACACAGTGACAGACCTGGGCGGACAGACAGAGCACATCGACAGACCTGGGCGGACAGGGGCAGAACACAAAGACAGACCTGGGCGGCCTCGCAGACTAGCGGCGGTTACGTGACGTGCAGACCTGAGTGGGCAAGGCATGACGATTATTTGTACTTAAGAGCGCCCTAAAGATAAATTTACATGGAGCCCTGCCCATTTCGACCGGACATACACGAAACACGCAGTCAGAGCTGAGAGAAATGCCCACTAAATCGCTAACACAGGAAACCCACCTCAGACGCAGGCCTACCTTTGAGGTCGTCGATGGCGCAGAGTGACAAGGACTGGCGCAGGTGTTCCACCTTGGCCACGAACGTGTCGAAGAAGGCGAGCAGGTCCAGCTTCCCGTCCACCAGCATGTCAGAGCCACCGCTCTGGGGGCGAAACACGAGGTTACAGATAAATATATACCGACTCTCAGCTGGCGATTACTTTTACAAAACAAAAGTAAGGCTAACTGCATATGAGCAAAAAACAAGAATGCAATTCGGATGAAATCAAACCAACTGAACAAGATAGGATGGCGTCAGCATCATGCATTTCTCTTAAAATGGCGTAGATACTCTACACACTGAAAAGAAGGACTACACAAGGACGCCCCATCCACCACTGTGCGCCGCCCGCTCCCTGGGCCGCTGGTGGTTACCGCTCACCTGTGCGCCCTGGTCCGCCTGCTCGCGGGTGACCAGGTCGCCAGCGTCCACCGCCGACTTCTCGACGGCCCCGGACGCGATCGAGTCCACCACCCGCCAGCTGTACTCTGTCTCTGTGGCGAACTGGTGGAGCCGGTCCCGGGGCGCCACCAGGGCGGCCAGCCGCTGCCGCGACGCCGCGTACACCGCTGCAAAGTGAAGTGGGACGGGGTGAGATGGAACCGAGGGAGCCAACGAGCATCAATGCATTCAGGGTACTGCTAGAAGTAGAATGCAAGTTCATGAAGTTCTCAATGACAGTGACTTAGTTTTACTGATTCTCAATCATAACCTTTCAACCAACATCAGAGCTCAGTCGCCCCAATCCATATTCTGGCATCAATACTTTTCAGTCCGACCTTCCAGCTGGCCACTGTCGGCGGTCTCACTCAGACACAGCACCCCCCCCCCACACACACACCCTCCCCCTCGCTGTCTGACGTACCTGGCACCACCTGCTCGGCGTTCTCCTGCAGCAGGCGGTGTGTGAGCTCTGGCGGCAGCTCAGACACCGCCACCAGCCGTCCCAGCTCCACCGTCAGAGAACTGACGTTCTGACGCAGCCGGCGGTACTGCGTCGAAAACGAGCTGACGGCGAGACGGACCAGTCAGAGGGATGCGATGCATGTGCAACTATCAAGTGTCACCTATAACTCACCTACGATGAATGCACAACTGACAAGTGTCATCTATAACTCACCTACGATCGATGCAAAACTAACAAAGAGTCATCTACTCCCCTTCGATGCTCGCCCACAGTCAGAGGTCAATCAGTGCATCTCGTCAGTCTGCAGATTCGCTGACAAAAGAAGCATAACGATGTAATATATCTACAATTAATGGCCACATCGAATGAGTAATGACGTAACTGTAAGTGACCCGAACTACTCCTCCCAGGTACTCGATGACTCACTCGGCGAAGCGCTGGTGCTCGGTGTGCACAGTCAGCTTCTTCTTCTGTGTCTGCACGAAGCGGTCCTTCGCGATGGCGCAGGCGGTGCGCAGTGTGCCGCACTGAATCTCCGGGTCTCCCTTTGTCAGGATCTGCTCACGCTCACCAGCCGGCGCCTCGGCATCTGCAGGGGAACGGGGCAGGACAGGAAGAAGCTTCAGAAGCATACGGAAATGGCCTATCAGAAAGCAGCTGAGTACAGCAAAACGATAGCAATGGAAGAAATAGTGTGGAACATAGCAATCATTGTATCCGAGCTGAGGCGAAAAGTTGTTTCATAGGCAGCTTTACTAACAGAAAAACCACCGGCTGCCAGTATTTTCATTTGTTCAAGTCTCCCACAAGTTAACCAACCACGCCCATGTAAATACATCGATTAGGGTCGATGATATTACTTTTCACATCAGCCGCTTTTCCCGTGTGTAGCAACATCGGAGGGGTAAGGGTTCCATCAGGCAGAACATAACCCCAGCCGGCGATTTTCCTGTTGGTTAAACTGGCCTCTCGTAAACGTATTTAGCGTTGTTTAATATATCAGCGACCCATACGACGTAGCATTGATGAAATGTAGCCGGCTATGACAATGAAATGCGAGCCAGTCTTACCCAGTTTCTGCAGTGACTTGAGCATGACGAACTGTGTGAGGCTGAGGAGCAGGTCCTTGAAGCGGCGGCCGCCGGGCGAGAGGAACAGCGCCGGGTTGATCTGCGGCAGCGCGCTGCCATCGGGGTCCGTCTGCCGGGAGGTGGGAGGTCACACGGGCCACCACAGTCCACGGCTGCTTGACGAGATGAATAAATACAGCAAATATTTCACCATAGCTCGTAATGTCATTCCAAAGCATGAGCCAGCAGTTGCAGTCTGGCGATCTCGTCATCATCTCAACAGTGTATCGCCTCCACCTCGTAGGTACGACCCCACCACTAACCCCTCTCTGCCTTTACTACTGGCCGCCCGTCCCACCTGTCGGAGCTCTCTGAGCCAGCCGACCACGGCCTGCCGGAACACGGAGCTCTGCTTCTTGTCGAGCACAGGCCAGCAGTGTCGGAACGCCAGCCGACACCGCTCCTCGTCCAGCGACCGCAGCAGGAAGTGCACCACCGACTGGAACGCCCGCTCGTTGGCGTGCTCAAACGTCTCCTGAAGAAAGGTGCTCATCGGGTCAGGTGAGGTAGGTCTCAGTGGGAAGCAGTGATGTTGCTGACCAGGCTGCTAACTAGGGCAGCAAGCCATGCTAGCTGATGGACAAATATGCAACAGACTTTTCCAGATTTGTTGATGTGTCATCTGGCTAGTAACACACTTACTGTTTAACAATTGATATAAAAAAAAAATCAAAGTAAAATGAGTTAAAATAAGTTACAAAGAAAATTTAATACAACTTCAAATATCCATGTCAACTCGAGTTACTTACATCAGACAATATTATTTTGGCAGCTGATGCCTCTTTCTCGTACCCAAGAAGGCACAAGTTTGAGTGTATTAGCTCAGCAACACTCATCTTCAGCAGCTCAGTAGGGCAAACTAGGTTTCTGGAATGAAAAAGGAGGCATCTAAAATTGATTCTTCATGGTCATATTTGGGCATAAATGCAGACCCCTTGACATTGTATACCTAATGCCAATTATTAGTAAATAAGCTGGTCTTTCAGGACGGAGCACACCTGTTCTTGCATAACAATGTTGAAACTGTCTACTGGACACAGTAATTTTGCTTTAATAACAACAATCTGATTTGAAAAGGAATTAAAAGGCAACAAGAAAACTGATTTACTGGGAACAGAACCTAATATAGATTCCACACTAAGCTGGCTAAGCATTTTTCTTTTTAATTACCAAATAAGGTAAACAGGCATGCGATCATGGCTTCACAGAACAATGAACATAGCATTAATCTTGCTATTATCCTCATTTGGTGGCATCCTCAGCACCAAATTAGATACCTATGGCCTTGTTGTATACTTGTAGTCTCCCTTGAAAGTATGGTGTCTTGGAAGTATCACTAGCATCAGCATCGCTCCCTACTTTGAGAGCCCCTGGCTTTTCAGAGTTGGCCACCTGGCCGGCCAGTGAAACTGTGAACAGCATGGGCCGGCCAGGCAGCCAGCCCTCAAAAGCCAGGGGCTCTCGAACCAGGGAGCGATAGTGACTTTTGAGACCATGCATTACATTGACCATATTTGATAAGAATTCACAACTTAAAAATGGACATACACAGATAACAAAAATAGAAGAAATGGGTAGAAACCTTAAACCAAATAATCAAACATCATAACACTGCACAGTAAGTCTAAAACAATTTCATTTTGCTATATGACACAAAAAAACTCAAGTGGGTAATTCATAACACCAGAATGATGTAAAGTGCAATTTTCTCAAAGCAGCTTTTAGGTACATGATCTAACAATGGCTCTCTTTGTGCCATTCACAAAGCCAATTTAAAACTCATTTGCTTTTGAGATGATGGTTTGCAAGCTCATCATTTTTCTATTTACATAAAAACATAAAAATGAGCCTTTTCAACCTACGCATTATTTGAAGGCAAGAACGGACCGAAACCAATCAAAATTTTGCCCATATACATTCATGACTTCCCAACAGAATCAAATTATTATTGCCTCAGATCCATAATGATCCCAGGATCTGACTAACTAAAGCCCACTTTGCCTAACTAACTACCTACTCATTCAATAATAAACATTCAATTGAAGGCAGGCTTTGCCATATCTTTTATTAACTTCCTTGGATTGAATTTATTTTACAAAGGAAGTTCAAGAGCTGAGACCAGTTTTACCAACAGAAAAGCAGGCGCCTGCTGGAATTTTTTGCATAGACCGCTTCATATATGGAGCATAAGCAGCTAAATCCTATCCGCTTACGTGCCCATCACCTTTACGAATACGCTCAGTATGTGAAGCGGTTTTCAGGCAAAAATCTGGCAGGCAGCTATTTCTCTGTTAGTAAGTAAAACTGGCCTCTGGGTCTATGCGGCGATGGGCACGACGGTTCCAGTTCCAGTTCAGGTTGATAGACCAGCCAGAACCAGCTTGAGCTTCTTTCCAGACATGAGGCAACTCATGTCTGAACTGCAAGAAGCATTCGCACAAGCACTTCAGATTTTCGAATGAAAGAATCCTACATCAGGCACAAAATGGCCTCGATTCCTTCCATTGCAACCATTTCAATATATTTCAATTTACCAAAAATCACACACATCCCGCCGCCAACTCCACGAACAAACATAAAACAATTGATTACAATCATGACGCACACTATTGAAAACGGCGCGATTTCTGACTGCTACCATATCTAACAGACAGCCCTAGCTACCATATTTGGTATCAAAAACCTTCATGCAAGGCAAAGTAAGCCTTCATGGATGCAAAGGCATGACTTACATAGCATTGGCCAGTCGCTCAGGCCTTTCAACATTACGAAAAGTGGAGACACTTGCGCTATACGGTCCTGAAGTGTCGCAACTTCGCAACACCCTCAATGCCAGAGGAGTTTTTACAGGGAAGGGAGATGAAACTTTCAGGACCTGGGTAGGGTATCTTCCAGAGGTCTCAAAACTTGTAGGCCTACATCTCGTATTTTTCCTAAAGGTCACATGAGGTCAGGTCGGGCACTTGACCTCACCATTATAAGTCAATGGGGGAATATTGAGTTTGGTACCTACCTATTTTGGCGCCGGGAATCATCTAAACCAAGCTAAGAACATCAAATCGTGATTTCATACGCTACTTATACAAAGAACGCTTCACGTTTGCAGTAGCCGTTTTCACGACGGGCTATCCGGCGAGTGCACCTAATTTGACCAAATCTGCACCTAATCTCTTTTACAGCAAATATCTTTGTTTCAACTGGCAAACGGGAAACTCGTAGACAATTTCGATGGAGTTTAAATTGCTTTTGGCTTCAATCCAGTTTGGAATTTCTCGATCGAGTCTTACTGATGATTCATCGCACTCCGAATGCAGTTTCAAGATTTCACCCGTGCTGCGACGCCGATTGCGCCGATTGGAATAGGCAGGTCAAATCGCAGAATAGGTACTGGTCATCGACAAATAATGACTGCAGTCGGGCAAATTTTGTCTAAAGCTGTGTGCCTGTTGCATCATGATGCAATGCATGCATGCATTGCATGTGGCATCACCAGTTTCAGGTACGAGCCGAGCGGTTTCTTTTATGGTCGTTAAAATGAGACGTTTTTTCAGTACCTACTACATAACGATTCACCATCGGGTCACGCATTTTTTTCTGCAGGCTGACACCGATTGATCGGGTTGTCAGCAGACTCACTAGTCACTAAACTGATCAATATGATCTTATCACAAGGTGTGTGGCCTTGGCACATTGCCAGTCCATATCAGTGCGGCGGTGAGATCCGACTATTTCAGATACTGGCATCGGGGTGGACTGGGCGCGAGTCATGGAGTTGGTGGCCGTGGCCCTGCGTTGGTCTGGTGCCGGGTGTGTATTGCGCTCGCTTTTGGCTTGAGCCAAAACATGACCATAAATCAGGCACACTCACAGAAATAAGGTATATATGAACCACAGCTGATATTTTTCATTCACCGAGTTCTACAATCGCCGTCCGTTTCGGTTACCCGGTAGCACCTGAAAGCCCCGCACGTATCGGCTGTTGCCTGTTGTCTGACAAAACACCAGGCAGCATTTACCGAGCCGCAGCCCGTATCACACCCGTTATGACAGCCGCACACACCGTTGCTCAACCGCGGGCCGCCGCGGTGCCGTCGTATATCAGTCCGCCGAGCTGCAGTTGTTTATGAGTGTCTGCAGAGGGTGTCTCCCCTATCTGGCCTGTCCGTCACGGAGCTCCACCTTACCCAGCCACGGGCCGTGTATCTACACGTGACGGCCTCCCGCGCCAGCCGACTGGGGGACCGGGAGACGGGGGCGGAAGGGGGCGGGACGGGAGGGCCAGGGACCGGAGGTAGGGATGCGAGTGAAGAAGGATCGGAAGGGAAAGCGTACTGAGTAACCGAGGGCAGACCACTGAACAGGGTAGTCCAGGTCCAGGTAAACCTCATCCTGTACTTCAATAGTCACTTTACAACTACCGGTGTGACGTAGGTAGGCATACGCTATGGGCTGCAATGTTCTTATGTAACAACGTTGCAGTTAACCATCAGTGAAGCAGTAATGCTCGCCGAGGTCAGGCTCATTCCGCTTGAACGCCGCGGACGCGGTCGTTTCCCGTGATGGTGCACCTGGGTCCTATGGTCTCACCGCTGCAGTCCTCACCGAGTCGGCGCACGTCCGCCAAATGGGACTCTCCACTCTCTTGAACCAGGCCATTTCGGCCCTGACGGCGGAATTCTTCCGCGGCCAACAATCAATAGCCGAGCGCCAAACGCACTTCTCCAGAACGTGAGCAGCAAACGACAGCACCTCGGGCGTCCGATCGCCACTTTTGAACAGGTCGAACTGATGAATGAGCTCTGTATTTCATTCATCGAACCGAAATAGCGAAACCCGATCTACCTCGGCGCCCTGTTGAATATGACTGCTGCTGCCGCGGGACTGTAGGTGATTAAAAATTGCAGCACGGGAGCCGCACAGCTGCTCTGTCGGCTCAGCGTCCTCAGTGATCAGCGTCGCTCTCTGTCGAGCCGTCACTCCCGGACCAAAGGAGAGAGATCCCGCCCCCGTTTAGCGCCCGGTTCTGGCGTAGGCAGCAAATCGCTGATGTCGGACCGTCGGCCTGTCATGTAGCTCGTTGGCCAATCACGCCCAAATCTCGGCAGGTCCTGTCAGATGTTGCCCCTCGCGATGGGCCCGGCCGCATGTTCGGTGTCAAACAAGTACAGGTGATGTCGGGGGGGGGGGGGGTCATAAGGTTCAGTACGATTAACTGTTGTCGACAGGTGCAATGCTGCTAAATGCTGGTGCTGAACTTGCCGATTTACTCGACACTCGCGCATCGCGCGCTTAGTTGCGATGTGATGTGCATTATACATGTAGGTTAGGTATCCATGGTGTAATGTGTCTCCAAAGCCCAAGACAATGCGAGCTAAGACATTTTACCTTTACTACCTAATCTCCCTGCGGTCTGTGGAAACGACGGGACGTGCTCCGCCTCCGCCAGGTAGGCAGCGCCAATTTGGCTTCTAAGGCGACCTTTCCGTGCCGTCCGGTAAATGTCGGACCGTGCGGATCTTAGTTACAGTCGAGTCACGCGCGCAGCAAAATGCCGTCCAGCTTCTGCTGAATAGATGAACACATGTGCTTTGCCAACGAGTCCTGTTGAAATACAATCATTAGAAATTTGGGGGTATTTGTCGTCTCAATACACCAATGTTCATACTTCTAAGATCTTGATTCATTATAGGCATTGGTTGGACCCCGTAGCTCTCTCTCTCTCTCTCTCTCTCTCTCTCTCTCTCTCTCTCTCTCTCTCTCTCTCTCTCTCTCTCTCCTCTCTCTCTCTCTCTCTCTCTCTCTCTTTATCTATCTGTCTGTCTGTTTGTCTGTCTGTTTGTCTGTCTGTCTGTCTGTCTGTCTG